GAGCTTAACGAATCAGGGTTGATCATGCTCTCAATATAATCATTCGTCATCGTAAAAAGGAAATCAATTTTCACCTATTCATACAGTACTTTAGCTATAGTACAGGTTTTATCAGTTGATTGCAGAATTTTAACTTTTGATTATAGATATCTATAGTGTTTTTATATTTCTAGGTATCCTTTGATTATATGTAGATATAATGCGCCCCCGGCTCCTACGCCTATGCTATTTCAATCAAAAGTTAAAATTCTGTAACCCAAGGTTAGATATCTACTTACAAAGGATATCTAGAAATAAAAAAACTATAGATATCGATAATCAAAAGTTAAAATTCTGCAATCAAAAGCTAGATATCTGCATTCAAATGACAGAAATCTACAATCCATTGTTCAGATTTTGCAATCAAATGTTAAAATTCTGCAATCAACTGATAAAACCGGTACAACGCTGAGCGAGACGATAACTGCTTCGAGGCTTCACGAGGCAGTCGCGCGTGTGTCGTGTCAGCCAATGAAATGACTGGAATAAACAGTGTGAAGCGTTTTGGCAGGCGTGTGATCCTATGCCAACCAGTGTTTTACTTGTGTCAAATCGAGTGGCAAGTCGAAATTGTCTGTTTTACTTCAGATTTGGAATCCGATTTTTTTCGAATTTCCTCAGCCCTTCATGTAATGGATAAATGGTTAAAGAAGTCAGTTGAAGTTGATGACAATGAGTCTTCAGTGAATTAACACGAAGAAAAGTCGGGTCAATCAAAACGAAGAAAAGTGGTGAGAAAGTATGATTCCAAGTACTTAGAAATGGGATTTACATGGAATGGAGATGAAGAAGATCCACGACCACGATGTATTATTTGTTGTGATCAACTTGCAAACGAGAGCATGCGCCCAAACAAATTGCGTCACTATATTGAGACGAAGCATCTTGAGTTGAAAGACAAACCCCTCGAATTTTTTGAAAGGATGCTAAGTAAGTTGAAGACAGGACAGAGCATTATGCAATGTTACACCAAAGTTAATGAAAAATCTTTGTACGTGTCCTACCTGATCAGTTTGAGAATCACGAAAGCTGGTGAGCCACATACAATTGGAGAGACTTTAGTTCTTCCAGCTATAAAAGATACAGTTAAAGTTTTCTTTGGTGATAAGAGTGAACAAGAAATTGAAACAATTCCTATTTCTAATAAGATATTTGCAAGATATTTGCGCAACGAGGAATTTGTTCTGAGGCTCACGTATTTGGCAGATATTTTTTCAAAACTAAACAAACTGAATTTGTACTTGCAAGGAGCAGAAGGTATCAGTATATTCGCAGTTCATGAGAAAATTCAAGGTTTAATGAAAAAACTTGTTCTATGGAAAAACTGTATTGACTACCAAAATTATGACTGTTTTGAAACATTTCAAACCTTTGTAATGGAGAATGAAGCAAAAGTTGATGACGATATAATCATTGAGATATCTGAACACTTGAATAAGCTGAAAGAGAGTTTTGAATTTTATTTGCTTGAAGAAATGAAAAATATCCAAGAGAAAAAATGGATTATGAACCCCTTTCAGCCTGACATAACGAGTGGGATATCGACAGAAGCTGAGGAAGAACTTTTTGATTTATCTGATGACGCTTCGTTAGAAATGAACTTTAACAGCAGAAAACTGATACAGTTCTGGGTGTCTGTTCGAAGACCGTACCCAATCCTTTCCAGTGAAGCTTTGAAGGTACTTCTCCCTTTCTCATCTTCATATCATTGTGAAGTTGGATTTTCAGCAAAGGTGGGAATCAAAAACAAATTCCGAAATAAACTTCAATTGTCAAATTCCTTACGCCTGAAACTAACCCACATTGAAGTTGATGCCAATGCCATTCTTGACAGTAACAAGAAACAAGCACATCCTTCACAGATGCCTCATTATTAATCAATTAGATAGCATTTATAAGTTCTGGAAATGTTATTGAAAATACGTGAGTATTTTTAAATGTAATTGAAGTACATGAATATGAATGAATAATATTTTTTAAATTCTTTCATATGTTTTTGCCCAGTAAATTTGAGTGGGTCGCCATAAGCTGTGGTCATGAATAGTGGGTCACGATTCTAAAAAGTTTGGGAACCCCTGATCTAGGGTTTTAATAAAATAAATTCTCTGGTTTCTTTACTAGTGCACATAGTTAAAAGTTGTATTCTGATATAAACTAATTTTTGTCTGTTATTAATTTGGCTTTTAAGTACATCAGTTTTTTTCTGGCTAATAATTGTTTTGTAAAATTGATGTTAACATGGGTAAAAGTGTATGGAGTCTAACTTAATTTGCTATCATGGCTCTCATTTAGTGCGTGATGTTTTTTGTTATTAATGTCAGTAGTTTTGCTCTTTCCAAAGTAGGCCAGTCAGTATGGTGTATCTTTGCTTTATCACACAACCACAATAACCATAAGCTTATCTCCTGGTTTTAAATAGTTTGTTAAAAAACATAACTGTTAAAAAATTAAAATTCTGTTATTAAAATTTTTCTTAGTTTGTTCTATATGAGGAATTGCTAAAGAGCTGTGTTATATCATCACTTCATTACTAACATTTGTTTTTTCACCTAGAGTAAGCTTTAATATTTGACTTAACATTCATTTTAATGTATAAATTTATTTCCAGTTTTGATAAAAGAAAGCAAAAGCCAACCAGGTTGGAATAATAATAGTAACATTATCAGTGTTCAAATTAATGCAAAAATTTGTTAACT